GTCATTTTGACTTTGACGTTTGATCAGTTTTGCGCCAATAACTTCGGGGTTGTCATTCTTGTAAAACTATTGAAACCAGCATGGTGATTTTAATTGTGTCTTTCACTACCTAGCCACTTGAACGAAATGAAATGAAATGAAAATATCTTAATTCATGTAAGCTTAATTAATTCTTAATTCTTTACAAGCACTTTTGAATCGTCCCACATTTTTTACCCCTACCACATAATTTTTTTTTTCCCTAATCGCTTATAAACCTCAAGTTACGTAAGCACTCATAAATATCACAATATACAAGTTACAGATTATTCAATTGTACTATTTTTTAATAAAGCGTCATCTCATCTATATTTCTACTACTAAAAACCACAGATTACGTATATAATCATTGAAGTAGGAATAGGGATGACAAATGGGTAAAAAAAGCAAATTTCATTTAGTCAGATAATAGTAAAATATTAGGTACGTATTTTTTTGCTTCAATGTAAACAAGAAATGGCTTAGATAATAGATTTTAGAGTTGAGGAGGGCTCGCGACGTCACTTTTTTGTAGAAAATGTACAAAGGCGTGACGTCATGCGACATTTCAACTCACTTAAATTTTTTGAATGCGGAAAAAAATTAAAGATACTTATTTAATATTTTTCATAATGATCTGATGGAAAACAAACATAAATTAGTCGTCGTACCTGTTGCCAACAAAAAACCCTGCAAACACAAACCCTGGAAAAACCCTTCCACACTGCTAACCATGACGTAAGCCAAACAAAAAAAATTGGGTTACTTTCGTGAATATTGATGCTCTTGGTCAAAATGAGAAAATGTTTAATTACTACTTTATATACATTGCGATTAGCACATTATTTTGAAATAAAGTACAAATTATAATAATAAAAACTACTAAAAATTTCAATGCAAAAAAATTAGGCTTACAAAAGAATGTGACATGTGACAAGACGTGTTACTAATGTGAAAATGCCGTTCGATGTAAAAATTTGCACAGCTAATATACATTTACTCTTAGAATTTCATTCGATATTAGGTTTCGATATGTCGGTTTTTTAGCTGTTCCTTCGATATCGATATTACCGTCGATATATATCGTTGCATCCTTAGTTATACGCGTGTGTGTGGTGTGTTAGGGCGCGTTCACAGCGGGCGTGCGCGCGCGGGGGGCGCCCGCGTGGCGCGCGCTGTGGGCGGCGCTGCGGGGCTCCTGCGCGGCGCCGCGCCCGCGCCTGCTGCACCGCGCCGCGTTGGCCGCGCTAGCCGCCGCGCCCGACGACTGGCTCTTCTACAGGTACCGCACAGCGGGTAGAGGTGCTGCTGCCCTATGCAGCTAATCGAGGGCGTAGCACAGGGGGTACAGGTGCTGCTGCCATATGCAGCTAATCGAGGGCGTAGAGGTGCTGCTGCCCTATGCAGCTAATCGAGGGCGTAGCACAGGGGGTAGAGGTGCTGCTGCCATATGCAGCTAATCGAGGGCGTAGCACAGGGGGTAGAGGTGCTGCTGCCATATGCAGCTAATCGAGGGCGTAGCTCATGGGTAGAGGGGCAGCTGCCCTATGCAGCTAATCGAGGGCGTCGCAAAGCAACTGTCCCCCTGCAGCTGTACCGCTAGTCGAGGGCGTAGTCCAGGGGGGCAGAGGGGCAACTGATCTATACAGCTAATCGAGAGTGTCGCCAAGCAACTGTCCCCCCACTAGAGATTCTAAAAAAGTAGCCTAACGTAATACAACCAAAGTCTTCAGTATGTATATGACTTCAGATGCTTGACCGGTCATTCCCGTGCGTCGAAACTAGAATGGGTAATAAATATCAGAAGACATCACATACGTTGCTCAGATCCAAGATGAGTAGCTAATGCTCTCGTATTATGGAGTATATAACAACTAAGTTACAACACCCAGACCCGAGACAATATAGAAAAGTTCATTTTCTACATTGCCCTTACTGGGAATCGAAGACCCGGGACCTCAGAGATGGCAACACCTTTAAAGCCGGCATGCGAACCGGCTAGTACACTCTTGTTACTATATTACAACAATGATTCTCGTAAATATATCTTGATGTGGGAGGAAGACATTTTTTAAAACTGAATCTAGCCTTTATCCATTAATGTTCTTTCCCGTGAATAATAGTTATTTAAGATACGAGTGCGGAAAGTAAGGTTTTACGAATAAGGGCCAAATTGATTTTCATTAACACGAATTCGAGCGAGGGTTTTCATTGGCACGAATTCGAAAAACCTTTTACGCTGAAGTTTCTTACATTTTTCAATGCTTTTTGCGAGGAAATAAAACAAATATATAGGTTAATAAAACTAAGTATGTATTAAAGGTAAAAATTATTTGTTAAAATTAAACGTGATATTTGAACATGTTTTCGTGTCATACATTTTTATTTGAAAATATTCGTTCTAGGCTCCTTGGAATACTTTTGCGTCTAAAGTTTGACATATTTTCATCAATTTTTTTTAATTTCTTTGGTGCTCGGCCAAAAAAAATTAAAAAATTACTTTTAAGCATATGTGCAGTAAAGGATTTCAGTACATTTTTATTTAACACGTGTTTAAAGACTCACTTTCGGTGTTTACAATGGATTAAAAAAATAGCGCTTTATGAGCAACTGCATTGAAAAAGCATTTCTGAAATCGATCCAGTTGTTTCTGAGCAATCAATCATTTATTGCATAAAATATGGTACGGATACAATAGGGATGATGACTTATTTTTATTTGTTTGTCCGTCAGGTAGAGTATTAAAAAATATTAAACATGTATTTTTTTCGTAATCATAAAATTACGGCGTTACATAGAGTTGAAATTTCGCATGACGTCACGTTATGGTACGTTTTCTACTCAACTGTGACGTAGCGAGCCCCCACTCCTCAACTTTAATGCCTGTTATCTATACTATTTCTTGTTAAATTGAAGTAAAAAAAAATACGTATCTAATATTTTTCTATTATCTGACTGACGGACGTAATAGAATTGCATTTTTTTTACCCAGTCGTCATCCCTATAGATGTCATAAAATAAGGGTATCACATGTTTACTGTATGACAGTGTACAACAGTTTTAGTATGTAAAATGTTATTTGTTTTAATTTTTAATTGATTTTTATTTATTAACATAACCATATTATTGTTTTATTCGCACATTACTGACTTCCTATTACATATTTACAATAAAACAATCAATTCTTTTCTCTTTATAATATTAAAATAGACGTATGTATTTTAATATTTCTGTGACAGGTTTGCGTTTACCGTGCTATCGCCAGAAGCGCAACGAAATAGCGAATGGAGATTGTGGGTGACCACGTTGTGTAGCGCAACCTGCCGGTAAGGGTAATTTACATCTATTATAGGTAAAAATCGGGAAATTTTAATTTGTAGAAGGCAACACTGGGGAAGGAGGATAAAGACGTCTTGATACTTGTAATATTTTTAATATGTTTTCAATAACTGCCTTCTAGCTTTGCATTCCAACCATGGCAAATTTTGACATAGATTAACAAATTGCGTGAGATACAAACATACAGATTACATACTGTACACTCTTTTATACCATCATCTATTAACCCATCCCGACAGAAAAGCGTTACACGTAAATATCTTTGAAAGTCAATGAGGAAGTATTAAAAAAAACATAATTCCCGAAATCAAACTAGATGTCGCTACAGTACTTTCTTGATTTCCCCATGACAACCCTTCCGGTTTTCATTCATGTATAAAAAGTAAATTAATTTTCAAAACTCAATAAACAACTCGTATTCTATTTGTACTTTTTCGTATTTGTATTATTATGTAAGTTTCGAACTTTGCAAATTTCAGTTTTTTAATATGTTACTTAAAAGGAACGGAAATGACTATCTTTGGTCCATTCGTTTCCTGCAAAAATCAACTTTTGCTAGAGTCGCCATCTAGTGGAGGTGCTTTTTAGTGCTTTCTTTTTTTTAATACTTCTTCATTGACAAATGTCAAACGAAATAGTTGATTACTAACTACAATCTTTCGACGGATTTAACCAATTCTTTATTATGTTTCTTGATCAATCAAATCAACATTCCAATAGCGATTGCGACTTTTAAAGTTACATAATTCCATAAATCTTTGCGTGATTCAAAAATAAAATAGAATATTCGAGGCAATAATATCAGCAGTTACATTTCGTCGTCAGCAGCCCGTTAATGTACCCATTGCTGGGGTTCAGGTCTTCTCTATGTATGGAATCTAATCGAATAGGGAAAATGAGGCAAGACACCACCACGCGGGTCCAGTGCGGATTGGTAGATATTTACGACTGCAAGTGCAGCCGGGATCAAAGGCTTAACGTGCCTTCCGAAGATAGTAAAATTTTGGTCACCCATCCTACGACCGGCCATTCTGAAAGTTGCTTAACAACCATATCGTAGGCCAAACACGCTAGCTACTGCGCCATCGAGCTCCTCATTTCAAGTTACATTTGCTTTATCTTTTATATTTACTGCGAAAAACTGTGTCGTTACCCGATATCGGCACGACAATCTGTCGGCGACGATAAACTACACAGCCAGAAAGCATGTGATTGTATTAAGCTACTAGCAGCCCAATTGGACTTCAAGGATATAGTTCTATTGAGATGATATTAGTTTAGGAGTTGCTCGGTGGCGTAGTGGATAAGCGCCGCGGCCCGCGATCGTTGTCGTTTAGCAACTTTCGCAAGGGTCAGTCACGGGATGGGTGATCGAAAAATTATTATCTTGAATTATTATCACGAGCTACTCCGTGCTTCGGAAGGCACGTTAAGCCATTGGTCCCTGTTGCATTTGCAGTCGTTAATACCCTCCAATCCGCATTGGGCCAGCGTGGAGGGTCATGGCCCGTCCTCCTTAACCATCCATAAGGAAGGCCTGAACCCTTGCATTGGGGACGTAAAAGGGCTGATGATGATATGATATTATTAAGTAAATGTTAGTAGACTCGGCCTACAGTCATCGTCCAACGTTAATACGCCCAATGTGGTATAGATGGCGTGGCGGGGAGGCCATATGGGTAGTGCTGAGCGCGGCGAATGCTCCGCTGCCGCCCGCAGCGCTGCACGCCGCCGCCGCGTGTCTGCACACATCACACGACTACTACCGGGTGAGTTCGTATATTTATACAGGGCTACAGGCTAATCGACAGAGCACAGATGTAATGAAGATTACGAGTTGATTCACATTTATACAGGGTTACAAGCGGGCTTACTGAGGGGATATCGGAATTGATGATTACTGTCTTTTATAAGGTTTTGTATCCAAAGGGTAAATTACAAAGACTTCGTTTTCTGTCTGTCTGTCTGTCTGTCACCTTTATTTCCTGAACCGTGAAAGTTAGACTGGTGAATTTTTCACAGATGATGTATTTCTGTTGCCTTTCTTTCTGTTATCTTTTTGTTATAAATTATATAATCAATGTAGCCAATAACAGAAATTCACAATATGAAAAATAACCTACAAAGGAAACATATTACCACGTGAGTTCACATTTATAAAGGATTACAAAAATAAGCATACGGGGGGGGGGGATAAATATTACTAAATTTTGTTAGTTATTAAGAAAATCAACAGTTTCAATGTTTTTGTTTTAAATTATATCAATCAATATACGTTATTTTGTCATACCTTTTCTCCAGCGGTTTCGCTCACGACCCCTTTTATTTCATTGATTCGTTTTTACAGTTTAAAGAGTTATTCGGTGAATATCGCGGCGCGTCCGCAGCTCTCGACGTTATAGCGTTGAATGCGGCGTGGGTGGCGCGAGCGGACGCCGATCTAGTCAACTACTTCAACGCTATAGAGAAACACTAGCGACATCTGTTACACGACACCACAACTACGATGTAGAACACAAAAAGTGGTTAGAATAGTCACCATAATCGTTCGTTCAAATTATTTTTGGATTCAATGAAAAATTCTCAACAATATTTTCTAATTGAGCCTAGATGTCTAATTTTAAAATCTGTCCTATTCCCTTTCAATTTGATACTTGAAAGATATTTACGAACATCATGCTAAAACTATGTGACATATGGTAGCGATTGCAATTTTTTCTAAGATATTTAATGAGCGATATCCTTAATTTTAGACGCAAATCACCCTGAAAGCTATTGAGAAATGTCAAACGAATGAATTGAATACCAACTGCAATTTTGTTTTTTGATCATTCAAATCGTCATTCATACCGAAAGCGATTGCGGTAGATTTTAAAATTAGCCCCCCATATTGGTCGACAATTGCCGCCCACAGTAATTGAGCTCAGTGCAGGTAAGTTTAACTGGTTAACAAATTAGTTTAAATGCAATTAATATTTCAAATATTAAACAAATTTACTTTGCTTTTCAATATCCAGTATTATAGAAATGTATATATCATAGTATTCACAGTTATTTGCGCACTAAATATAGTTTATCATCTACACATATATAAATGATATAATATAATTAAATCACTGCGTCTTCAATACAAAAAAAAAAAAACATTAAATATTATCGCCATTTCGCGAAATGTTCCTGTTTCAGTTGCTCACGTTATCGGTTCCTAAACGTGATGGAAATGATATTAACTAGCAATATAATGTTGCCAGACTTCAAATATTTGAAATTTTGTACATTCATTTGTAATTTATTTATTTAAATTAAATATCAAAGTATAAATTTCCTGTCAATAATTTTATGCGTATAAAATAATCTAGAATATAAAATAATAATCTAGATCAGCGGTTCCTTATCATTAAGACTGTGAACAAACCACTGTTTTTTAATTAGTTAAACAATGACACATAAACAAATTATAATATACATAAACAAAGATCGCTAACATGAAATATATTTAAAAAATCAGTCAAAAATATTGACAACCGCTGATTTAGATCTTGGCGAAACGTTGTTGTGTTCCTTAAATGTCTGTATATTAATATTTTCTTTTACTTTAAGTTGTTCAATGAAAATATCACTATAATACAATAAGTTACCTGATGATTAAGATAATTTAGTTTTTAATATTAATATTATTTTAGTTAGGAAACATTTATATAACGATTATATTATAATTAAAATGGCATTCAGAAACTGTATTATTTGAATAGTTTTTGTAATAAAACATTATCTAAGACAACCTAAAAGTCATAAATTACATTGCGTTGAGCGAAAATGACTGGGATAAATACACCGACTAAATTGAATCCAAGCAACCTCGTACCAGTTTATGAGAACTGATAGCCAATCAGCGCGTTCGCACAGCTACCCTGCCTGTTTTGCCAATGTCGGCAAAAAAGTCGATATTTTTCACCAAAAAAAGTTCTATAAAACAACTTCATTAGACTACTAAGTCACTTTCCATTACAACATTAATAACAAGAACATTAAAAAATTATTATTCTTTCGTCCATGAAGTATCTAGAATATTATCATGTAATACATTTTGTACTTTTTTTTGTTATTTGGGTTTCAATAAAAAAACATTGAAAAAATAATACTGTTTCTGGACAATTTACAAAAGTATTATAGAACAAATCTCTAAATTGTATAACCTCAAAACTTGGTATTATACAATTTTGTAAAGTAGACCTAGTTTATATTATATAAGGTATTATTGTATCTAAATGTATATTTAAGTACTTTGAACATTATATAAATGTATATGAAAAATAAGATATATGAAAAAATCATAGACAATTTGTTTCATGACTATTTCGTAACCATTAGGATTAATATCTCATTAATAAAAACACTCATTTTCTTATACTCTCTGACAAATTAAGAATTAAATTAGTGCACATATATAATGTTCATTGTAATTGAAAAAAAAAAATTAGCACTACGCTCAAAGTGTTACCGTCGGAAATAAATACATCTTTCTACTAGCGACCAAAGAAATTATTGGACTAAAAACTTTTTGTATATTTTTGTAGTGTTTAAAAACTTTTATAATGTAATTTTTCTAGGAAACGACCTTTTTGGAGTAACAAATCCGACCACTAATATTAGTGAAGTATCAAAATTGGTTGTGTGACTATATTTACAACAATTGGGGGTTGCCGCGTACGAAAATACGTAGTTTTGAACAAAGTTTGGGCGCGTTTACTTGCGATAACTTTCTTATGTTATTTAATTGTTCTCAAACAAAGAAACACGCTGCAAGGAAATTTTCGCCTAATCTGAATAGGCTCTTAACTATCGAAGATGTAATTTATCATAATGGTTTTGCTAAAATAATTCGAAATAAAGTAATCGACCTATCACTATCAACCTTTTTAAAATAAAATAAAACTTACTTTCGATAAGTTGCAAATTATTTACATTAAAAAAATCTGATTTTAACTAAAGTATATAAATAAGGAATGCAATAGAAATGAATATATATAAATAATTTGCATAGTTCAATTTTTGTAAGGACCGTACTTTGGAGCGTTCGGTACCTGCCAGAGATACAGCATGAAAATATGGGTAGTATAGTTTTATGGAGTTTTGAATAAAAAAGATCCAATAAAACAACTGTTTTAATATGCTGTCATCATAGTTGAGATACTATACCGTTATTCAATTGATGGTCTGCTTTGTTCCAAAACAAATATTTGTTTTGATTTCATTTAATAAACATTATTTTGTTCTTAATATTTGAATGTGATTTAAAAAAAATATATAAAAAAAATCTAAACTATAAGGTTAATCCAAAACTCTTCTGTCCAAAAATGTGTACTGTTTCTAGTTTTGTATGAAAAAGTTTAGTTTTGTGTGGGTGTTACCTATAATAGCTACCTATACCGCCAGCGCCGGATTAGCCACATAGCAAAAATAGCAAATGCACAATTGGAGCCTCGTTATGGTTCAGACATTAAAAGCCAATACATTAATTTTCCTAGTCATTGTTAAAAAATGCAAGAATAAAAAAACCACGCCTGTAACTAAACTCATATATTTAAGTATAAACATAAACTGACAAAAAAAACTCAAGTCACATATTAATTGTATTATATTCTGTTTTCTGTTTCATGGGGTCTTTAAAAAATTTGCTACAAGCCCTGTTCTGGCTTAATTCGGCACTGTATACCTATAATTTAAATATTTTTAAATTATATTTAAATGTGTAAATTACTTATAAGGTAATCCATCAATATCTTGGGGTTTAAAAGGTATAACCGTAATTTTGACCAGAAATATATTGTCTCAAAATAACTTTTCGGCATTTAGCTTAATTTTGGCCAAAATGCCGATTACACATTTTACATTTAATCCCCACGCTAACTGTCTGCCTGTGCAAAATTCAAAGTAGAACTTCAAAATATGTATGAATGTAAATTTATTACTGTAAGTCTAAAGTTTTGTATCTGCTTTTGTAATAAACTTTCCGAATGTAAATGTTTGTTTTCTTACAATCGTGGAACAAAAACATTTATTTAAAAAAACAATTGAATGCTATAGAAATACCTATTTAAGAAAGTTCTTAAATAAATGTCTACATAGCTAACTATTTTCGATATTTCTCTGTCAATTATTAATTGGAAATAACGACATGAAATTGACCAAAGACAATTCGGGATTTGGTAAAGCAGTAAGTGTGCGTCGTACCCGTACCACACCGTTTTATTTCATCCTAGGTTCCCGCATCCAAACTATTTATCTGTGATCTTTAACATAATTTCTTTTCTAGTATTCACTTTTCGTAATTTGAAAGTTTGAGTATGCTTATTCTGAATGTCAGTTCGTGAATATTCTTCCAGTGAAGACATGTCATTAATGTGTGATAGAGAAATGAGTTATACTTTGTTAGTTCTGATATCTTCACGTATCATAAATCAGTGAAGAATATTGTAAACATTTTACTAAAGTTCTATTTATTTTAGAACCCGAGGAAGGGTATTCTATTAACAGTATACAATATATCAATTTAGCAAGCTAAGACAGCCTTTCATTTATCTAATCGTCCAACATGTTACAAAGCAACTAAGTTTTATTAATAACGCCAGAACCTTATATTCAAGAACTCGCACAGCTTTTTAACTTAAAAAAAAAACTAGATTTTATTTTTGTTTATTCTTTAAATCTTATTCTCATTTCACCTGAAATGTGTTAATTTCTGTAAAAACTGAAGTTAATAATTTTAACCTAGAAAACAGATTTGTCAATAGATAATAGCATTCTAACTTTTGAGAGTTTTACTTCATTGAAATTCTTGTTTGTTTAATAAATTAGATAATTTTTGCATTGACAATTCTATACTGATAAATAATTTTAATGAAAAATTCTTAAAAAAATCCAACAACCATAGGTACAATGAAGTGAGACGCGAACCCGCAACCTTTATTTTATTTATTTGTCAAAAAATATACTTCTACTAGATACAAGGATAAGAAATGTTAATATGGTGATGATTTACAGAATGAGGAGGTATTAAAAAAAAGCATTAGTTCCGGAAATCAAACTAGATGTCGCTACGGTACTATCTTGATTTCTCCATGTCAACCTTTCCGGTTTTCTTTCATTTATAAAAGTAAATTAGTTTTCAAAACTCAATGAACAACTCAAATTCTATTTGTACTTTTTCGTATTTGCATTGATATCTAAATTTAGAATTTTGTGAATTTCAGTTTTTTTTTATATATCAGTTAAAAGGAACGGAAATGACTATCTTTGGTCCATTCGTTTCCAGTCCAGTCGCCATCTAGTGGAGATGCTTTTTTAAGTGCTTTCTTTTTTTTAAATACTTCGTCGTTGAAAACGCAATTAAACAGGTTTAAAACTAATTAAAATTAAGTCGTCAGATAGATTGAAATTTTTTAACATTTTTTAATTTTTTCGTTATCAATAGGGAATATGCACATTTTTGGAAAATGGTTTTATATGATAATTCACATCGATATATAACTGTAAAAAAATACCCGGCACCGAAAAACTAAAATTTTGTAACATTAATAAATTGATGAAAATAAGTAATAGATACGAGCAGTTTAAACGCCGGAATTCTTGGCGCGCTCGTCGTGACGTCAAAGTACACGACTAGAGATATGACATTTTAAATCAATATGGATTTTGAGTGATTGATTATTATTCAATTACCAAAAACTTTGATGTTATTGCATCGATGTTAACTTTTTGTAACAACGACATCCCTATACGTGTACATTTTCGTCACATCCGCTCTGAAATGTAACTTGGCGTTTAAATATTTTGAAGTTACCGCATTTATTTTGAACTTTTTAATAATTATTTTCAAGACGAAAACCAACAAATTTTGAAAAACATTTAGATAGCTTTATTTTAAAGCAATAACGATTGTTATAAAATATATTTAACCCTTTTTTGAATCAGACGCATATTCCCTATTACAACGATATAGGTATTAAGTTGAAATGTCACATGACGTCACACCTCTGTTGACGTAACGCTGTGCACCCCACTCCGCAACTTTAATGTTTGGCAAAATGACCAAGCCGCGCCTGCCATATAATGAAAAACAAAAAAGCTAATGTTTTATGTAATATTTGTTAGGTATCTTGGAATAAAAAGATACATTAACTGAATACTTTTTTTTACCCAGAAATCACCCTTATTCGGTATAGTTTATGAAGTACTAAATATTACTGTAGTTCTGATATTTGACATTTAATTTTCTGTACTTGAAGCGTGAACAAAGTAATTAATTTACCTGTAAATCAAATACAAACTTCCAATTTAACCAGGATATGCTTGATTTCAAAATTATTTTAAAAGTAATACATATACACATAAAAAGAGTATATAATTACTAAGTAGAAAAAAAATTGTATAAATTTTAATAGGCATTTAGTACTTTTTTATATTTTTATCAAATACTTAAGTAAAGTCTTTAAAGTGAGCTGCAACACACAAACGTACATTTTTACTATTCATGTATATGTTATGTAAATGAAGGAATATTTCTAGACTTAGAAATTTCATAAAGAAATAAAAACAAGAATTGAGCTTTTTTTAATCAAGAAAAAATATGTTATGTTTATTTGAACGAAGGAATGCGTTAACATTATGCTTTATTTTATTTAGTAAGTGTTTCAACTTTTTTTTTTCTTTTATGTTAACTAATACTAGCAGGTGTTTAAAGTCTAGCAATAAAATAAAAAGAGACAAACAATGGCGAATAATAATAATAATAAATGGCATTATTTCACATAAAATGTAGTTTTAACAATACAATAGTTAACAATGTCTCTTTTAAGATAATAATGTATCAAGTAACAATGCTCTTCTATAGCTGTAATACATATTATTTTACAATTACATATAAATTATTTCAAACCTTAAAAAAAACAAAAAGAAAAAACATCAGCATTTCGTTCATTCTATAAAATATTTATAATAGCAGTGAAGAAACGGGATTTAATTAATGAATTGCAAACAAACAAGTACTAAAATGCTGCATAATTCCCTCGACTTCAGAAAAAATCTATTGCTGTTCGTTTGTCTTGCCAGAACACGAGAACCGCTGGGCTGATGTAGCTGATTTTGGTTTTGAAATGTTTCTCGTGTTGCAAGGGAAGGTTTAGACGGTGAGAAGTAATGCGAAGTACATCGGGTAATCTACACTCACTGGCACAATTAACCGCCCACCTGTATCAATGTTTGGTTCCCTCAAATATGGCTTATCAACTGTTTTGTTTTTGTTAAGTGGATACTCTAGCAATACTTATTTACATTTACATACTTATTTACACTTATAACATTATTTTCTTTCCTAAATTTGTGTCACCGAAGGATTTTCTGAATTTTGTCGTTGCTTAATATTTTTGTTGTTGTTTTACCGAGTTAACATTTCCTGTTATTTTCTATCATATTGGGCGAATATTGTTTAATTTGAAATTAAAGTGTTTGCTCATTGTTTGTGATTGCTAAAATGCCATTCGATGCAACTGATGTGGCTAGCCACATCAGTTAAAGCCACTGCCTCGAAGCCAGCGTCGCATCACTCGCACACTCTGTGTACGTCGAACTACGGTACGAAATATCATCAGATGATTTCGGGAGACAGGCTTATACCCGCAGGCTAGGTAAAGGCCGACATCGATGTAATTCGTCTCGAGATGACCGTTCCGTTGTCACCAATGTGTTGAGAAATCACTCTCCGAATGCTACTGAAGCTAGTACGCGCCTTTTTGAGGTGAGAAATTTCAATGTCAGTGAACGTGCCATTAGAAGACTAGCAGAAAGTAATTTAAGGGCTTTTCGTTCAGCTCGTGCTCCGCAAATGCTCCCACAACACCGTAGAGCTAGACTTGGTTTTGCGCGAGAATATGCTGAAGGGACTGAAGAGGAATGGAAGATCGTACTGTTCTCAGATGAGATCAGAATAGCCTTAAGAGGTCCAGATGGACGTCATGCATCTCTACAGGCGTTAAAATGAGAGATTTGCTCCATGCGCTATAACCAGAGGTCGGAATTAGGTAGAGTTATTTATGTACTTGCATCGAAATTTGATATTAATGTGGACCTTCCTGGGATTTCTTTATTTCTTTCTTTCATTGATGTAAGTTTGGCAACGTCGTGCGTACAGTAGTTTAAATTGTGTAAAAGTAAATAACTTTTTATTTAAAAAATCACGGGATTTTTTCTGTTCTTTTAAATTAATCTCGGGATTTGAGGCATATCCACTTTATTCTTTCGCTGTATGAAATCAGTGTAAGTACATGAATAACTCTACCTAATTCCGACCTCTGGCTATAACTGAAACAGTAGGTTACCAGGTAGGGTCCATAATGGTATGGTGAGGTATCTCTTATGAGGCAGGTACCGATCTTTTGTTTTGTTCGATTGAAGAAGTGTAAACGCTCAAATATACGTGGGAGAAGTTCTTCAAGATGTCATACCTTTCGCCCCGTTCATTGGTGACAACTTCAGATTAATGTATGAAAAGATCCGACAGTGAGTGAGTGACCTTAATGAGATCGGGATTCAAGTGTTGCCATGGCCCGCATGCAGTCCCGATCTTAACCCATAAGAGAACATTTGGGACAACCTTAAAAGAAGAACAAATATTTATTTAAAAGACGTGTCCGTGCAAGAGTGCCAGTCCATACGACCATAGGAGAGCTAAAAACGGCTACAGTAGAGGAGTGGCACAATATCCCCCAATCGAATATTCAAGAAATCATGGATGGATTGACAAACCGGCTCCAAGAAGTCATAAGGGCCAGAGGTGGCAACACCCACTATTAACTTGTATTTTTTCTTTTAATGAGGAAGTATTAAAAAAAAACATTAGTTTCCGAAATCAAACTAGATGTCGTTACGCTACTTTCTTGATTTCTCCACGACAACCCTTCCGGTTTTCTTTCATGTACAGCAGTAAATTAGTTTTTAAAACTCAATATTCTATTTGTACTCTTTCGTATTTGTATTGATATCTAAGTTTCGAACTTTTCAAATTCAGTTTTTTAGTATGTTAGTTAAAAGGAACTGAAATGACTGTCTTTGGTCCATTCGTTTCCTGCAAAAATCAACTTTTGCTAGAGTCGCCATCTAGTGGAGGTGCATTTTTAGTACTTTCGTTTTTTTTTAAATACTTCCTCATTGCCTTTTTATTTTGAAAACAATTTCTTTTATATATTTAAAAAAAGCGATATTTTGGTATGCATCCTTTAATAAAAGACTTTACAATTATTTTTATTGTTTCTTTTTCTTTAAGTATAGTTTTTAACATTCCTTTAACCACTCGGCTACGGAGGTCGTTTGCTTAAAATGCTTAAAAAATCCAATACATCCCAGTACCCCGAGAGGGGTCTCGAACCCACAACCTTTCGTAATTCGGACTAATGCTCTAACCATAAAGCTATCAGAGACTTTCCACATCCGTCGTAGTAACATTTGGTGTGCCACAAGGCTCTAACCTAAGCCTTTGTTTAGTCTTTATTAACGACTTTATAGAACGCTCTGATTGTCTCTTGTTGTATAATATTAATAATATAAAATTAATACCGATATCAGAACCTTTTTTTCATAAATTCTTTTAATTTTTTAGCTATAACTCCAGCTACAATATCAAAAATGTACTTTTTCAAACTGTACAACTCGTTAGAAAGAGACAACACTAGATCGAACGACATTATTCTCGAAAAATACAAGCATAAACCCCAATTGAAAACTCAGCAACATATCTCAATTCAAAATCTCCTTAACTTTTTCACAAACTACAGAGACAGAACCAAAAACAAATGCATTCGATTATTCGGCAGTATCTATGGCACTAAAAAGCAAATACAAGATTGTCTAGAAAAGAAAAGAAGGTCTAAGGCACGTGTAAATTTTCTTGAATTAAAACCGATTAATGTGAATCCTATTACACAATATCACAACTTTTTGGATATAGAAGCGAACGCTGATTTTACGAGAGCAATTAAAAATTCCATTAACGATCCCTTAAGTTACAAAGTTGATATACCAATTATGAATACAGGAGATTTGAGATCAAACAAAATTAATAACATCTACATACTGTCTAACTTCAGACGATCAAATCCCAGTGCTGCCAATGAAAAAATAGAAAGACGTAACTTAAATATTGATAGTTTAGAAGACAATAGTGAATTTGAAGAACTAGAACTTAGAAATGCACATAATAAACCAAAGAGGTTTCAAGTTATACCGAATAATAAAGCAAAAAAGAAAATATCAATAACTAAGATCTCAGATTCTGATGAAAGCGAAGTTTTTACAGATTCAGAAGAAATTGAAATTGAAAAGAAACCTAAAGCTAAACGTAATAAGTCCAAAAATAGATTACACCTAGCTACATCAGAAGCATCAACTGAAGATTCTTTTGAAATCGACCGACGTCCAATTGAAAAGAAAAGAAAGATTAAAATATCTAAACTCAAAGTAAAGGATTTCTTTGATAGCGACTTATCTAGTGAATCAGATCAACCTTTAATTAGAGAAACAATGAAAACTAAAAAGAAAAAGATTAAAAACAAAGAAGATAAAGAGTATTACCTTCAAGCAGGTAGAATTATAGATCCTTATTCAGATGATGAATTCAGAAGGAGACTACCTGTTTTCTTGCCTAAACGCTATCATTGGCAAGAAGAGGATATACATAATTTAGGATATTATTGGTTCAATGGACCCCAAGGCAGATATCCTCACTATGCTTTGAGACCTTAAATTAGTAATAAAACACGCGTTTTTGCTTATTCCATTTGCGTTTTCACCTTGAAATAAATAATTATAGCGGTTCTGTTGCACAAATTAAACAAGTGTCGTTGCAAATCTGATGCAAGATCGGTCAGGCGTCTCGCTAAAGCATGAGTTTCCAGAGCATCTATTGCAATCCCTTTCAATTTGACATATGAAACATATTCACGAACTTTACGCTACAACTATAGGACAATAGATAGCGATTGCGTCCGCGACATTATTTTGAATCATACTGAATGAAAAATATCAAACGAAAGAGTCTTATACGAATGAGGAAGTGTTTAAAAAAAAATTAGGTCCCAAAATCAAACAAGATGTCGCTACTGTACGTTCTTTATTTCTCCATTACAACCTTTCCGGTTTTCTTTCAAGTTTAAAAGTAAATTAGTTTTCAAAACTCAATACACAACTCATATTCTATTTGTACTTCGTATTTTTCGTTTATGACCCGTAGGACACCAAAGTGGTTCACCTAGGTGTTCCACTGTTAACTTTTTGTACCCCTGGTTCACCTAGGTGTTCTGCCATTCAAAATAATGTACCCGTAGTTCACCTATCTAATGAAACACAAGTCATCCTAAATAATTGAAAAACTTAATGTTAAAATTGATAAAATTAAAGATTTTCAGGAGAAAACCAGAAAAAATCTGTTTTGGTAATGTAACAACTTAATAAGAGGCAGAAAACAGACTTTACTCCAGGGGTGAATATTTTACTTTTAATTAATAGATATTGTGTCAAATGTTTGGTTCGCATAAAAAAAAAATCGCCTAATTACGTGACTTTCCTAATGCACTCACTATAGTGATCCTTATTAACTAATTGCATTTGTATGTTGAGAATATAGTTTTCATTTTCGAGAATTATTTTTCTTTTTTAATAGGATTTTTTATCAACAGGTTTTTTTATAGGTCTAAATAATGTCACTGTGTTTTTGTTTAGCGCTCGGTTTCATTTGGCACTGAAGCCTTCGGTAACATTATTGGTACGGTTATGCTGTCTAAATACACTTAATTTTTTCATTTAATCATTTTTGGCCAGTACATGAGTAGAGAACAAAAGGATGGTCAACGGTCTCGATTCCCATCAATTTCCTACACCCAAGAGTTTTTTGGCTGTGTAGAAATAATCCAATAGATTTTAATATTTAGAGGTGCAAAAAGTTAGCCGTAGAAGTAGATCAACGAAAAGAGTATATAGTAAGAGAAAAGAGTAGGTGAACCAGGGGTAAACAAAATTAACCGTGGAACACCTAGGTGAACCAGGGGTACAAAAAGTTAACAGTGGAACACCTAGGTGAACCACTTTGGTGTTCCACGGGTCAGAAACGGTATTTTTATTGATATCTAAGTTTCGAACTTTGCAAATTTCAGTTTTTTAATATGTTAGTTAAAAAAATGGAAATGACTGTCTTTGGTCCATTCGTTTCCTGCAAAAATCAACTTTTTTAATGCTTTCGTTTTTTTGTTAAATACTTCCTTGTTACAATCTTTCGACAGCATTTGTCATTGACAGCTTCAAAAGCATATGCGACATTAAAAGTTATATGATTTCATAAATCGCTATCACAATCGATATACTTTTAAAGCTATTGATAGATTTAAAATCGCACATTTTTCAATGAATTAACACTTTATTGTATAGTCAACAGCATATCAGATTATACGAAACTGTCTAATTTCCCCACTCGATTTTAAATCTAACACATTGTATGTAGAGGTCAAAATCTATAGTGGAAATTTGACAAATCGCGAAAACCTGACAAAAAAATCAAAATACACATAAATAAAACGAATCATAATCTGGAAAATAATATATTCACTGGATAAAACAACAAAATATCAACAATCTAAGAGTAATCTAAATGCTTGGAATATATTAATTACATATTCAAACAAAATTATCTTCATTAGGTTACATGGAAACAGGCGACGACAATAATCTTGTTTCATTAACAATTAAAAATTATATAATTATCTACAGTATAATTGGATAATACTTATAATATTACAATGGCCATCCACCATCACACAATCCCGGAATACATGAAAAATATTTCACCTTAATATCTTCGAGATTCCGAATTTGGAAGCATTTTATTTGCAATGGCAACACTGGCGGCGTCTATTGTTTTTGCCGCCAAATTATCAATCAACAACCCGATTTATATACAAGACTGGCAAATGATCTTGTTTATATTCTCAAGACCGTATTCGATATTATTAATAAATAATAAATCTCGAAATTAGAAATTTCTAAACCAATAACCACCTAAATATAGCGGTAAATTCGTAAAAATGGCGCCAAATAGAAATTCATTTCTAAAATGAATACTAATTTAAAATAAAGAAACCATTCCATGCAGCCATAAACCTCCACCGTTATATAAAATTCGTTTTATAAAACTGAATTCAGTTTCACAAGCCCAATACTTTTTATATATAAAAGTACTCGGTTTACCATTTTTGATTTGGAGTTACTAAAATATTATTCAATTATCCAAAGGCAAAGGAATCTCGTACCATGCGACCACGTTTCATGTTTATTATTTATGATGTAAGTGCTCCGTTTTAATGACAATTTCTTATTAGCACAACAAATTTTATAACTTACAGGATTTCAGCACTACTAAGAAATGAAGCGAACATGCAATTTAATAACGCGATTCAAAAGTGACTGTTGGAAAGGGATACCGTTTCGTAATCTGTATAGAGCCATCTCGCTTTATTTTTCTAAACCCCTTTTGTATCCACTACAAATTACACACAAGAAAACATCACAATACAAATATCACTGGAAGAATTTAAATATATCATTTTCAAACTTATTACCTTAGCAATAGGCTTATATCATCATTAATCTACTTGAAAAAAAAAAACAAAGCTTACAATTGTATACCTTACAGTGACGCATTAAAGAATATATTACAAAGGTACTGGCGCAGACAAATTTTGCCATTTAACTGATCGCTCAAACATCACAAATTTCGATTCCATGGCAGAATGTAATAGACCCCTTGGTCTTAAACTTCAAGTATACTTACCAGTATTATCAATTTACTCTAAGCAATATTGCTAGTTAAAAAAAAACACACAAACTTGTTCTAATATCACTTCACTAAATTTTAATTCAAATCCATTACAAATCTATAACGTATCTAATTAATTTATCAATACAGATAATCATTTATAAGTTATCATACATTTTTTTCACTTTCATAAGATACAATTGTTCGATTCCAAAAACTATATCAAAGCTTTAAATTAAAATATGTAGTTTGCGACACACTTACAACCTGGCAACATTCACTGATGGTAGTTTTTAGTAGAGTTGGTTTCGAAAATTTAAATAAAAAATAACATCAAATACCAATCAAATCTCTATAGTTCTTAATTTGAATCTTTTAATGGAATACATATATTATTTTCATTCATCAGAAGAATGCTTAAGGGGCCATCCATAAATTACGTCACACGTTAGGAGGGGGGCGGGGGTTCAACGAACTGTGACATTAGAACAATATTTAGTAGAATTTGTATAGACAAACATGTGACAGGGGGAGGGGGGGTTGGGTTAAAAAATCATGAATTTTGTGTGACGTAATTTATGGACGGCCCCTAATTTAAAGGAATCCGTACGTCGCAAAACCGTACAACTACAGAGGTATTATAACTAGAGCGAGACACATGTCTGTCTATGAACAAGAAGATCGCGGTACTATATCTGTTTCACTCTTACGCATCCACAGCAAAGTGTAATGAAGCCGAGAAATTGTTTTGATTTACGTTAAACACTTTGCACAATTTACAGATAGGGTATACCGCGATACCGCGATGTCGTCTATCTCTTTCTAACCTGGAGACAGCTGAAGGGCCTTCTACTCTTATAATATCTTTTATTATTATATACATTAGATATAACTAATTTTGGTCGATGTGTTTTTATTAACTGGTGCTAATTTTCGGGAAAACTTAAAGCGTAAGTATATGAAAGACGGAAATGGCTGCAACTAATCAAAATCAGTTAAACAACTTTCCACCCGCCGCTTCTTTGTCTTATACATATATACCTTCCTTTTGGATCACCATGTATATCGATGAAACCGCATTAATATCCGTTGTGTAGTTTAAAGATCAGCGTACAGACAGCGTGAAGCAACATTGTTTTATACTATGTATAGATATTTACATAAACTCTTTTGCTAATAAAAATAAAGATGTTATTAAAGTAAGAACAGCGCCATCTAGGGATTCTCTTTGAATGAGGAAGTATAAAAAAACGAAAGCACTAAAAAAAGCATCTCCACTAGATGGCGACTCTAGCAAAAGTTGATTTTTGCTGGAAACGAATGGACCAAAGACAGTCATTTCCGTTGCTTTTAACTAACATATTATAAAACTGAAATTTAAAAAATTCGGAACTTAGATATCAATACAAATACGAAAAAGTACAAATAGAATATGAGTTGTTTATTGAGTTTTGAAAACTAATTTACTTTTAAACATAAAAGAGAACCGTAAGGGTTGCCATGGACAAAATAAAGAACGTACCGTAGCGACATCTAGTTTGATTTCGGAAACCAATGTTTTTTTTAATACTTCCTCATTAAATAGGCAGCTGTTTACAAATAAACTGTCAGACGCAGAAATGTATCTGCTGATAGGACTTCCCAATATGAGTCGTGTTTCAGGTCACGTGATACACAGACAAA